TTTGGGATAGGGTCTCACTGTGTTGCCTTCCAGACTCATTTTGGACTTGCAATCCTCCTGCCTCAGCCTCCCAAGTTGTTGGGATTGCAAGTATGTGCCGCTGCGCCCAGTGGAATTTATGCACCTTAAATGTACTCACTAGCTTGGAAGAGCATGAGAAAGAGACTGTGAGAGTGACCTTACTAGCAACAGCAGCCATAGGAAAGGTAAGATAGGGCCCCTGAACGCAGAAAGTGAACGGAGACCAGTGTCGAGTTCCTGGGCTGGGACGATGGGGTGCTGCCTTGTGCTCCTCTGCTGGCCACGGTGGGAGCCCATTCTCAGCCTGGCTCCTGTCCCAGAAGTGGCTTTTATAGCCAAAAAGGTGACCTCAGACCATCCCTCCCCTCTGTCAGTAAAATAGCAGAGGGTCCAGACTCAGGATTCCCCAGTTTAAGGACAAAGCCTCTTTCTTACTCGCAGATCTTATTATGAGAACAAATATTCATGAAGGTCGATCCATGAAGACTTAGTCATTGGAGTGAACGGTGGTCAGTGGCATTAGCAGAGTCCAAAAATAGTCTGTAAGTAGACAAGGATCGTTAGATGGGAAAGAGGCAGAGCCAGTGCACGGGGCCAGAAGCGTGCGCGGTTTCGGGCATCACCCATGCTGAGCCTCATGAGCAAGCAGGAAGACGATGACGTTCTTATCTCAGCACATGGATTTTATCCTTGGTACATTTCTGTGCCCCTGAAACACACACATGGGTGCGTAGCCACCCACACGTGGGGAAGATCTGGAGGTGTAACGGTGGGAGAGGCAATTTAGGGTGTTCAGAAAATCTGGTGAAAATAGTGGAAAGCAATCTCTTGCAAACATCATAAAGGCAACCAAATGCACGGTGAAGAGCGAGGAAGCCAGGAGGCAGGGAGGAGAGCCTGAGGCCACACCTGGGCTTGCGGGGCTGTGTTTTCTTTTCCTGATTCCTGCAGGAAATCCAACAGGCTGAGGCGATGTGCTCCATGATGGAGCCCTGTGGGACCCAAGGCTTGGGAAGAAGGGAATAGGAATATTAAAAATCAGAACAGGAATCAATGAACATGTAACATGGCTACAAAACAAGCACTCAGGTGGGGAATTTAACAGACCCAAGAGGTAGTTCTTTGAAAAGACTCATGAGAAATCCTTGGTAAGACTATGAAAGGGAAAAAGGGAAGGAAGGAAGAAAAATAGGAATAAATACAAACAAAAAAATCAGGATTAAGAAAGGAAGTAGCACTATAGTTTTTATGGTGGGGGATATTATGGTTAATTTTGTTGCAAAACATTTTAAATTAAAGCAATAATGGACAATTCCTAGAAAAATGCAACTCACCAGAATAACATCTTAAAAAATCAGAATCATGCTATAACTATTAAAATAATAGAATCCAGAATTTAACACTCCTCCTCCCAACCCCAATCCCCGGGAACAGATGGCTTCACTAGCAAGTCTAACATATATTTAAGGAAGGAATAGCATTATAATTAAATAATTGTTCTATAGAATAGAAAAAGAGAATCACTTTTCAATGGTCCATGGGAGCAGATCTCTGATATTAAAACTTGACAAAGACCTCACACTTCCTGAGAAAATAAAATTATAGGTTCATTTCATGAGTGAACAAACATAGATGAAAAAAGTCCAAAGCTGAATCTTAACAGATCATATTCTGCAATATAGAAATAGGATAGCACATCATGACTAAGCTGGGTTTAATTTAAGAGTGCAAGTTTGGTATTTTAGTAAGCTTTCATCATGGTGAAAAAATACCTGAGATATAAACTTAAGAGAAGAAATGTTTACTTTGACTCCTAGCTTCAGAGGGCTCAGTCCATGGCTGTTTGACCCTTCTGATTTGGGCCTATGGTGACCTAGGACATCATGGTGGGACAGTAGGAGGAGGCCTACTCACCTCATGGCAACCAGGAAGCAGAGAAAGAGACAGGAATGGGTCAGGATCCCATATGCCTTTCAACAGCACACCCCCAATGACCTAACTTCCTCTCCCTGGGACTCACTTCTCAAGGGTTCCCAAAGGTACCCTGGGCCGGCAACCAAGCCTCCAACTCATGCGACTTGGGGTCAAACTATAGCAGCTGGTAAGCATTTGGAAAGTCAACCATCGTAAATTTACTGCATTAACATAATAAAGAAGAAAAATAATACCATCCCAGTAGATGTGGGGGAAGCATTTATTAAAACTCAACATCCATGTATGAGAAAGTCTTAGCACACCAGGATGAACAGGAGTGGGAGTCTGGAGTTGTCACTGGACATCTACAGAAAACATTAATGGTGAAATGTTTGAGACTGACAATAAGCCAAGGATATCTGCTGTCACTAGTTCTCTTCTCCATTGCACGGGAAGTCCTACAGGTCCTACCCAGAAACACAGAATATAAGATACATAGAAGAAGAAATAAAACCGTCAATATTCACCAATGATGTAATTACATGTACAGAAAATTAAATATGAATTAGGATTCAGCTGAATTCATGTTGATAAGTAAGTTTAATGTTTCTTGATATGAGATATACCCACAGAACTCTAACCAAGAGGAAAAGGGGTAAGACTTGAAGACGGTTGAGAAAGAAGAATATTCAAGTGGCCAAGAAATACAGTGCAAGTTGCTCAACCTCACCAGCCATCAGAAACATAGCGAATTTCAACAACATGCTCACCGGAGTAACTAAATTAAAGGCTATCCATGCCATGAATTGGTGAGGATTAGGAGGAATGGTCCGTCCCACCTCCATACTCTTGGTCCCAGGAACTGGACCAAGAAGGTGCATGTGAACTTTCTTAGCAATCCCGCCCCTAGCAGGAAAGCATGGCTGTGTTTGCCAAGAGACTGGTGTAGGAACTTCACAGCAGCATCACACATTGTAGCTTTAGACTGGAAACAGCCCCACTGTCCAGCAACGATGGGGTGCATTCAGGAAGATACTGTTTTCATGGAATGGACTCCTGTACTGCAGTGGAAATCAAGCCACAGTTTCATAAACATGGATGTCTCTCACAAGCATTACAACTGTAGGACTCCATGTATGCAGGTTTCAGGAAACAGACTAGTGAGTTAGAGTATTAAGGATGCCAAGTTCAGGATATAAAACTGAAGAGAGATGAAACACATGATATCCATTGAGGTATACATTTCTGATCTGCACAGTTTTCTGCTGATGTCGTGTAGTTCACAACAGAAAAGTAACACAGCCTTTCTAAATTTTTAAACACAAAGTTATTTGAGTCTGTGGTTGGCAGGGTTCAGGTATGGAGTGGTGAACCTAACTGCATAAGCTACAGCAAGCAGGATGTCCTGAGGATGTGGAGCTCCGCCTGTGTGCCCTGGTGTTATGTAACCATGGTAATCAGCGGCACATTTCATTGATTAGAGTAGGGGGAGATGAATCACTCATCAGGATCCTCATGTTTGCATAGGGTTTTTTTTTTTCCTTTCCTTTTTAAAACAGTGAATAGACAAGGAAGGTCAGAGATAAAATGTTTCCAACACAGTTGAAAATTGATCTGATCTAAAGCAAAAGCAGTGTTAGCGTGAGACAGTAGGAAATAGCTTGACAGAGCCTGTTAGAGAACAGATGTGCAACAAGGGCCACAACTCTCAAGGTAAAAGACGTACAATCTGTGAGTCCTGAGCTGACACTGGCCCAGTCCCATCCATACAAGCTCAGCAACAAATGGGGAGTCTATATTCAGGGCAACGCTTCCCCGGGGTTTTCTCGCACATGAGATGGTCATCAGAGGCCAGGGAGTCAAGGTTCTTGTTATAATACTGGTGACAAGAGACTGGGGTGATCAAGGTGACTAAAGTCACAGGCAGCGTGGTCCTCTGTTCTCTTGACCATGTATCATGACAGCGGCAGCAACGGTCTGCGTGTGCGTGGTCCTTTGGAGCTCGTGTATTTGTATACGTCATGGTCATTCTCTGACATTGCATTGTGGGGTAGAGAGATGATTATTATTATCCCCACCTGCCACACAGGTAAGCCAAGGCTCAGGGACATTAAGTGGTGCTGACTAGGGTTATATCACTGGTAACAAGGTCAAGTCTATAGCACGATGTTTAGTACTCCTGGTCCTAGAGGTTATTCTTAGGAGTTTTGGATGTTCCACCAGTGATTAAATAATATCTTATATACATATGTATTACCTTTTTATTTTTTTTTTGAGACAGGGTCTTGCTAAGTTACTAAGTCATCCAGACTGGGCTCAAGCCTACAATCCCCCTGCCTCAGCCTCCCAGAGTGCTCGAATGATAGGTGTGTGCCACCACACCCGGCTATACCCCACTTTTATAGGCATGAATTTACTGCTTATAATAAAAGACAAAATCTTCCAGTGTCATTCCTGAAATCGCAGACTCTTATCATCACGTTTCTTAACAGATCCTCAGGAATTACTGAGTACTGACTACGTGCGCGCAGAGGTGTAGAATATGGAACTGAGACAGGCTCAGCCCCTGTCCTCTTGGAGTTGATTTTTTGTTAAGAGAAAAAATAAAACAATAAATGAGTCAGATGAGAAGTGCTGTAAAGAAAAGGAGGCTGTCTAAGGGAGGGGGTGTTACAGACAGCTGCTTCTCCCCAGAGCTGAGAACCTGAGAAACGCTGCACCTCCACCAAGTTCTGGATGGCGGGAGGGTGGCGTCTTTAGGAAACTGCTTTGAAAGCAGAGGCAACGAAGATCATCCTAAAGCACTTTTTCTTGATTCCACTAAAACCGTCATCAGAGCTTGAAAAGCTGGAGACTTGTATTTGATAAACCGGTGAGAATTCACGGAACATGATCCAAATGCTTTTAATGTGTAGGTGGACCTCAAAAATGTTATCTTGGGCGTTGTCAAAGGCTTACTGATTTTACAGACAAAAATGTCATCGTTCTAAATTTAGGTGTTTGAGTGTGCTTAAAAAAACCTGAACAAAATGTCAACACTTGCAATATTTGACTTTCTTACCCAGAGAACACTGCGCTCTTTCCCATCTAATGATTACCCAGCTGACACCGGGCCTGGGGAACGGAATGCGTGAAAGAAACAGCTCCATTTTAATTTTGCTTAAGCACAAGTAAGTATGGACCATCTCCGCTTTCAGCTGCGGATTTCTCCCTGCCTGAATTCTCTCCAGTTGCATAATAAATGGGGGTGTGTGTGCACCTCATACTTGAGATTATTTCCACATCGGTTTTACAAGCTATAGCTTGCCCGCTAACGTAAAGCACATTTGGTTGTAAACTGAAGATGTACGGAATGTTCTCTGGACTTAGAAACTCAGTGTACTTTGCCTTCCTTTTTTTTTTTTTTTTTTTAATATTATAGAGCTTGTCTAAACAAATTCAGCACTCTCCCTAACTAACCCCAGCTAAGACAAGGAAGTGATAAGCTAAGCGTTGTATTAAAGGAAGGCAGAATCTGATTTTAGTAAAAATTAACCCGACTCCCTAGGAAAGTTGTCTGAAAGTGCCCGTTGTGAGATTGCCCACAGTGGTAGCAGCACAGATTGTCACACTGTCCCTTTCCAGAAGAGGAGGGGCCTGCAAGCTGCCTGCTGGCCTGGGGCCGGGCCTGTCCTCTCCTTCCACTGTGGAGAACCCACGCTTACTGCCACTCTGCTGGTCACACCCGCTCAGGTGCTTTTCCAAGAACAGAAACAATTTATTTTCCTCAGCGATAGAAACAGCAGACTCCTGGTGGGCGTCCTGGAGACCCCCGGGGGACCACTCCGAGTGGGAGGTTGGGTGTGGTTTTTGCCTGACCCAACAGGTAATGTCTGCACCCAGGGCTCCGGGAAAGAGTGCCCCCTGCTGGTGAGCTGGGGGGTTGGCCAGGCCTGAACTGTGGGCAGCTGCCCTCCAGCACCGTTCCTTCAGACTAACCAGGGTGACGGTGGGGACACCGAGGAGACAGACCTGGAACTAAGTCAGCACTGGTCAGGGGCTTCTTTGTGTCTGGCCCATGCACGTGAGGTTCATCTGCTCATCTCCGGGGCCCTCGCTGTGCCACAGATGGGGGATACTGAGGCTTTTTGACAGGTAGAAAACGAGGGGCATCCGCTCGCCCTGGGAGGGAAGCTGCTGTCCAAGGTCGTGTCCGGCGCGGCCTGCAACAGCAATGTGCCCTCTGCAGAGCCGGCGTGGGCTGCAGGGAGAGTCGGGGGCGGCGGCCTCCTCATGCATATGACAACCTTGCTGGCAGCAGCCGTGGATGGGGGTAGAGCAATTACATTAGCTGGGGGCTTTGCTCTTTCCCCGCAGCAGGTGACAATTTGCTTGTCCTGGCCCAAGTTCCCCTGGGTGTGATCAAGCACAGGTCTCCACCAGCCTTACCGATGTTCTCCGCCAGTTTCTAGCACCCTGGAAGCTTCCCCTGTGCTCCACCCGCTTCCCGGTGGATGGACTTTCCTGGCTTGCTGGCATGTGTCTGTGGATTCCATAGCTGTGGCGTCTGGGAGGAGTCAGGAGATGGCCGTTTGCAGAAGTGGGGAGGGTTGGTCCAGCGGAGCTGAGTTGGAAGTGATGGGCTTGGCTGGGGGTGGGTGGGTGAGCAGGAGAGGAACCAGGAAGCTCGAGAGAGAGAGGGAGAGAGAGAGAGAGAGAGAGATAGAGAGAGACAGATGGAAGGATCAGGGATAAGTTGAAGGACTGAGGTATCCCAGGGGTCCCCAAGCAGGCTTTTCAGCATTGGATGAAAAGACAGAGAGATGAAAGGAACAGAGACTAGGGAATGGACAGGTAATGGGAAAGTGCAGTTACGCTCGGCAGGCTCTGATCTCTGCCCCCACCATGGTTGTCGTGTAGACTTTCTCTGCTTGTTACTGGGAAAAGTTTCCCTCTCGGCTTGCAGCATGGGTGCAAGTTCTAAAACTGCAGCTCCGGAAGCTGCCTCATTACTCACAGCCTCTGTGAGGCCTCAGGTCTTCCGGCAGTGTTTGCAAGCAACGGAGCCCTGTTCTAAATCCCTCCCCCCGTGAACACACCTGTAGAGTTTTCTTGTTCCAGACTTCCTGTGTCCTTCCCATCTGCCTCTGCCGAGACTGCACTCTCTGTCACGGGCTGAACTGGGACCTCTCGAATTCATAAGCTTGAGGCAGGAGGTTGGGGCATGGCCAACCGGCTGAGCCTGTGGCCATGACCTGTCAATCACAGAGATTCAGGAGGCTTGTACAGGAACACGGTCCCAAGCCCTGCAACTGGGACCAATCAGAAAGTGCTCTCTTCAGTTCTTCTGGCATGAAATCAAGCTGGTTTTTGATTGGACGGCCTAGATCTGAGGTCAACTTGAGGATGGAGGGAGAAGTGGGTGGGGCTACAATTGATGGCAGCCATTAGCCTGTGCTCTAGCTTTCTCAGTGATCCACTGTCACCCTATAGAGTATACTTTTCATAGTGTTAATAGATGTAAAACCTTACTACCTTTTCCCTGTGTGTTGACCAGTTCTGTTTGGGACACCAAGACTGTGAGAAGAATCTCTGGAAGGAGGCCATGTAACATGGCCAGTAACATGCTGAGGTCCTAACCCCAGGTTCCTATGAATGTGACTGCCCTTGGAAGTAAGTTCTTTAAAGATGTGATCAAGGTGAGCCGAGGTCTAAGGGTGGGTCCTAACCAACACGACCGTGACCTTACAAGAAGCAGAGATCAGGGTGCAGGCACACAGAGAGGACAACCCTGAGGGCACAGGGAGAAGACACTCCTGCAAGCCAAGGAGCGAGACCCTACTAGGAAGCTGCCCTGCTGATCCTGTGACCTTGGACTTCCAGTGTCCACAGCTGTGGGACAATCAATGTCCGCAGCTCTGAATCTGTGGTGGTTTGTTGCTGGAGCCCAGCAGACTCATGACCTGGTCCTCATTCTGCTCCAGTTACATGGTTTCTCTGCCATTCCTAGACACCCAGGGCACACTCCTGCCCCAGGACCTTGGCACAGGCTGCTGCCCTCTGCCTGGCTGCTCACAGCTCTGGTCCACCTGCTTCAGGTCTCCCTCAGATACCAACCCCTCCCCGAAGCCTTCCCTGGTCTCCACCTCTGTCTCCTCCTGACTTCTTTTTTTGGCTCCTTTTCTGTCTCCCTTTTCACTATCTTTTTTCACCAGATGTGGCTTTGAGTGCAGTTTTATTTGCAGGCCTGTCCCAGGAGTGGAACAAGGCCGCACCGTCTTATTACTGCATTGTTTTTGGTTGTTGAATGAACAAACAAAGGCATAGAGTGTGCTCCTCAAGCCATGGATGAACTTCTCCCTCTGCAGCAGGCATCTTTGTCATCTCCACCTGTGAGGATACAAAGGTTAAGTGAGGAGCCCGGCGTCGCATCTTCGTGGGCAGGAGACTGTGGATGAGTATCCCGGCAACCTGCTCCTGCATCTTGGTCCTGAATCCCCTCTGGCGCTGGAACAAAGAGCTTGGGCCTGTCCACTGCCATGTACGGAAATTCAGCCAAGGGTGGACCCTAGGTGGGACTTGGACTCTTCTTTTTTGCAAAGCAAAGATTCCTGCCTATACTTTAAAATGAGGCCACAGCTCACATCAGATATGCATGTATTTGGCTACAAATTAATTGGAAATAATTTGTAAACATTTGTTTACAAAATGAGTTGTTTCACGTGCGGCTATGATGTGAAGTATTTCTAAGTGTGCAGGTAATCTGTCTGTAGGCTTAGGAATGCTTTCCAAATCAGAAAACCTAACCTATACAATATTTGAAAACATGATGGGACTTTTCTTTTGCTTTTTTTAAATTTCTTTTTTAAAAAAAATTTGGTACCAAGAATTGAACTCAGGACCTTGTGCTTACCAGGCTGGTGTTTGTGCCTCTGAACTATATCCCCAGCCTGAGATTTTTCTTTTCTTTTCTTTTTTTGGTACCAGGAATTGAACTCAGAATTTTGCGCTTGCCAGGCAGGTGCTGTGCTGCTGAGCTATATCCCTGGCATGATGGTATTTTTCCAAACAACAAATTTCGTTGTTTTTGAAGTCAACAAATATTATGTTTTATACCAAACTAAATAGATGGTTTTGTTTTTATAGATTTCAGGCTCGAGGGAGAAGACTATATTTTTTCTTTCCCTTAATCTGCAGTATGTTTTTGTGCTTCATAGGTAGCTTGTGACTCAAGCCTAATGGCTAAGCTGACCCAGGGTGGTGACACAGAGGGGCAGCCTGGGGAGAGGCCAGACCACTTGGCTGTGACCCTTGCACTGGGCCCTCCTGGTGACTGAGCAAGGGATCTACTCTGTCTGTGCCTCAGTTTCTTCAGCACAGCGGTGGCAGCACTGGTGTCCTCTTCCCGGCAGGAGCTTGTGAGAGTGAGGATGGAAGGGGGTGATAGTAAGCAGGTGCTTGACACACAGAGTTCTTAAAGCTAGACACAGGGAGCTGGGAGCAGCCTGGCTGCTGCCCATGGTTTGGGGTGTTAGGAAGAAATGGAGGCCAGAACCGGAAATAGGTAGGCAGGGAACTGGGTGAAGAAGCCTCACTATGAGTTCCTGAGGAAGGAGGGTGCAGGAGAGAGAACACTTCCGGAGATGGGAGCCAGCCCAAGGCAGGCGGCCAAACAAAAACCACTACGGTCAGAAGAACATGGGAGGGGAGGCTCTCGCCTTGCACGGAGGTCTGCTGTGGAGGAAGCGAACACATTTCAGGTGTATAGGCATTGACAGCAATTTGGGCAAGTTGTGGGACCATGAAAATTATCGTTCAATTGGGTATGGTGGTGCAGGTCTGTAATCCCAGCCTCCTCTGCAAGGCTGAGGCAGGAGGATCACAAAATTCTAGCCCAACTGGGTTAAGTTAGCAACTTGGTGAGACCCTGTCACAAATAAAGAATAAAAGAAAGGACAAGGGATGTAGCTTAGTGTGGAGAACCTGGGTTCAATCCCCAATATAAAAAAAATAGCTGAAACTATGCAAAATGATCTCAGTAATCCATGGGAAATAGTACAATGATTCTGCAACCTTTAAAACATTTGGTCGAGACACTAAAACTTGTCTTAAAGATTGTTTTAACATCAGTCGTAAAAATTGTAAAATTAATATTTATTGTGTAGACTGTAATTTTAGCAATTTCTTCTTTTCCCCCTGTAACTCATGCTCCTCCAGCCATGCTTCCGCCTCGGGCACTGAGCTCCTTTCTAGGTTGGGGTAGCCTCCGACACCGTCTCCTTTGTGCTGTCAGTGTCGTGAAATAATTCCATGTGACGCCAGTTGCTGATGTCACTTTCTGTGGACACCGTCGCTGCCGTCCTTCCCACAACAAGCATCCCTGGGCTATATGGGTCTGTCACCCTTGCTCAGCCGTTTGGCTACACACCTACACTTGTCCCTAAATGAGGCAGCATGATACCCCCAAAGTCAGCTGTTTCTTCTGGGCTCCATTTACGAGGGGCAATCAAAAAATACAGCAGATATTTAAACTAAAAATAAATGTTTACAGTAAAAGACACATTGCCATGAAATCTTTTCAGAATCCTCTCCTTTGCTTCCAACACACTCGTCCCATCGTCCTTTCCACTTCCTGCAGCAGCTCTGGAGTCCTCTTTCCTGAGTGTCTTTAGCTGCCCTGTCCTGGCTGCCTCGATGTCCTGAACTGATTCAAAATGTTTCCCTTTCATGGTTATTTTGGCTTTGGGGAAGAGCCAGAAATTGCACAGTGCTCGATCCAGTGACTAACGTGGATGAGGACGCGACGTCCTGTTTTTAAGAGTTGCCTTTCCATTGGATGGCATTCTGAGGCAGCATTCACCGAATTTTTGATCACAACTCCTACAGACGCTCAGGAAAGAGGACTCCAGAGCTGCTGCAGAAGGTGGCCAGAAGGATGGATGAGCGTGTTCAAAGTCAGGGAAGGATTCTGAGGGGGATTCACAGCAATGCGTCTTTTGCTGTAATAAATTTTCTTTAGGCATTCACTGTGTATTTTGGTCAGACCTCACACAGCTCAGCATTATTGATTTCTTTGCTGTACTGTCCTTATTTTAGCCAGGTGCCTCTTTCGGTCCCACCTTTATTTTCTGTAAACTTTCACGTGTGTTTCTTCAGTGGAAGACAGGAGGAAAGAGGATCAAGCTCTGCAAACTGAACCAGCACAGACAGCATGAAAGCTGCGACGTGACTGGCCACTGATCCCGAGTGCACCTGTTACCTCGGCGGGGATTTGTGAACTACACAGCAGGATGTGGAGTTGTTTTCCTCACAGCCTGCTGTCGGAGAGCTAGTGGAATTGAGCTGAAGTATGAGAGACTGAATTTTGCAAAAATAGGAAGGAAGGGAGGACTGTGTGCACCCACTCTCCGGCACTGAGGATGAAAATTAACTGCTAATCAGCTGGGCTTGGTGGTGCACACCTGTCATCCCCGCTCTCTGAGGCTGAGGCAGGAGGATCAAGAGTTGGAGCCCAGCCTGAGTGACTTAGTGAATCATCAAGACCCTGTCTCAAAATAAAAAAGGGACTGGTGATGTAGCTGCGCTCAATCCTAGTTCTGGAAACAGAAATTAAAAACTATAAAATGAGTGGGGGTTAAGTGGGGGTTCTTTATGCTGTTTCTTTGCTCTAGAGACTGTGTTCTCCTCTCTCAAAGAAGATGCCAGGAGTTCCTGTAGCATGGCTCTAGGGTGAGGGGTGCAGGCCCAGGCTGTATGACTTTGGACATCACTCAAACTCTCAAACCTTGATTTCCTCTTCTGTGACAGGGAGACGGGATGGGTGATACCTACCTAATACCCCCTGCCGGTTACTCAGGTAATGTATTAAAGCATTCATGACAGCGCCTGATACCTGGAAACATCTACGAATGTGCGAGCTGTCACTTTTACTTTTTGAAATAGCCATCACTGGGTATTTCCTGCGTGCCAGGAAAGTGCTGAACGGGTTACACACTTCCTCTAATTCCATATCAATCCTAAAAATGGGTTCTACAAGCTCCTCGTTACAGAGGCAGAGGCTGAAGTTTGCATGGAGATTTAAGTTTGGAGAGAGATTCTTTAGGGCTATGTAAATTGACCATATTGGACCCCAGTCCTTCTGACTCTAAAATAGTCACGTTCAGTCACTTGGTTCTGTGTGTTCAATCATCAGACTCTAGGAGCATCTGGCTGGTAACTCTCGCTGTGTACACCCTTAAACACACACAGAGAAGCATGTATAACACCAAAACTATTGTGCAGTGCGTCAGGTCCTGTCTGTAACTGGCTCAGTGTTGTCATCAAATGCCTGGTGAATTTTGCTGCCCCCTCCTGAAAAGTAGATTTCTACTCCCTTGTTTATTCTTTAGGATTTATATAAATTAAGGTGATACAGGTTGGACTGTCTTATCACAAAACCCTGAGCTCATCACCTTAAAACATTGGAAATAACTTAGCTCTTAGTAATTTCCGGACAGCTTCAGATTAAACGTTTTTTCAATCTGCTATGCGATGTAGCCACCCCTCCTGGGGAATCACTGAGTTCGGCTTTCTAATTTGATTTGGGCGGAGCAGAAGCGGAGTCCCTTTCTGCATCCAGAGCAGAGCGCTTCGGTGCACTTGGGAGGTGTTCGGATTCCGAGTAGGTGTTTTTAATAAGTCACTTCACCTAATTGTATTTCCTCTCCACTAAATAGGAAAAGTCTTACCATAATGGCTTCATCTCTCTAAATTATTTTCTGGTTGTAATTGTGCTGTTTCCCACAAGCATCTAATTTAATTACAAGATGGTAATGCTTCTCTGTGAAAAGCATTAAGAAGCCTGGGATTCAAATGGGCAGAGGAGAAAAAAGTGCACTTATTTATTTTCTCAAGGCTGGATAGGAAAATATGAGCATATCCCCACCTTGCTTGTCTGGGTCTTTGGAAGGTATGGGATAGGAGGCAGCGAGACCCAGTGGGGACTGAGAAAGAGCCCAGCCCTGTTCTGAGACCTGGCCGGGCGCAGGTGCAAGATGCGCACTGCAAGGGCTGAGGAGGGTCCCCTGGCCCTGGCAGTGGCGTCACCTCCAAACCTACTGACTTGTGCTGAAATGATGGGGACTCAGGAAGCCTGTGTCCCTGAACAATTAATGTCTGGAGTGACAGAGGGAGTAGTCATTTTTGAAACATCTTTGAAATATAATATGCCACATGCCAATAAAAAGGGAAACGCAGAAAGAAAAGGAAGTGCTTTTGTTTTCCTAGCGTGGGAGAAATATTGATCTTTTTACAGTGGGAAAGTTTTACTTGAGATGCCCTGGTAGGCATAGAGCTCTAGCTGGCGAGCCTCAGTGGACCCCACGTGCCTCTGGTCCAATTGTGATGTCCGTGCACCAGCAGCCCTGGGGGTTGGCTCAAGAAGGGGCTGTGGGCATGGTGGGCACACCCACTGGCTTCTCACTGGGGAGGGAGCTGGCGGGTCCCCTCTCTGGCTTGTCCAGTGTGTGCTTTGAGAGACGTGAGCTGCAGAGAAACAGCAAAGAAAGAAGTCTGGAAAGAAGGAAGAACAGGGATTGGCCATGGTGTTTTCTTTTCCTTCTCTGCATTTTCTAATTCTAAAATATGCTTTAATGACGGCCATGTGCCATTGTGTGTGTGTGTGTGTGTGTGTGTGTGTGTATGGGGAGATCAGAGAGTCAAAAAGAGTGGGAAAAGATGCCACAGTAAGATGGCTTTTGGACTGACAAGGACAACAAACAGTTTTGGCTGAAATAAACTTTAGAAGGAAAAAGTCTCCTGAAAAAGAAAATCACAGAATGGAGTGATGGA